CTAATGCCAAGCACTTGCAGTCGCCACAAGGAAATAAGGAAGTTTCTCACTATGAATATCAATACTGATATTTGCAGTATACACTCTGAAAAAATTCTACTTCTCTGTTTCATTACCCATTCTTCTGTACTCAGTTTTAACATGAACTTCCAAAACTTTTAACGAGCATAGCGATAGGCAACAGAAATAGCCTAACTGAAAAATCAAGACACTGCAGCAGCGGCGTGTCATGAGCTCTGCAAACTAACGACCTCAGATTAGAATGTTAGGCAAAACGCAAACTTAATTACCCACTCATTCCTTTGAAAAAAGAATTAGGTCCACTGAATTTCAGCGGAGTCAGCAAGGAAATGGAGTGCATGCCAATTAACTGCGAAAAATTCACCTTTAAAGGCTGCAACGTATCCTCATACGCATTAGAGTTGACCTTTCGTGGACAAGATAAAACCAGTAAACAAAACTGCCATAAAAACTCGTTATATCGCTCCCACCTGTGCCATTCAATTCGGCGTCTCAGATGAGTCGGCGAGTGTTTTTCACTTTTTCCAGTAAACGGTGTTCGTAACCCAATCATACGTCCTTTCGGAAAGAAAAAGCAACGGCCAAAGAATGGAACTGCATGAGAGAGCAAAGTACGGTTCAGTCCACTTCTAACGCGCACGCCACGCTATCCTTTACTGAAAGTAAGTCATGAACCCTGAAGCGAACTGAACCGAGAAAACTTCTCATGGCTTTAAACAGTTGTTTAAAAAAAGACACTCCGGTTAAAAAACCAGAAAGAAGAATCTACGGACACTTTCGCATTAACTGAGAAAGAGAAAACTATAATCTGTTAAACATACCGTCTACAATTTGAACAGCGAACTGCAACTTACAAGCAAGGTAAAATATCTGAAAGAAGCTTTATCAGTTTTAAAGAGTATCTGCGGTGCAAAGATTCAGCAATTCCTTATACAAGTGCAGTCATCCTGATTGTGAATTTCTTCAGCTGGATTACTCCGTAAACATATTTTATTTAATATAATCCTGACGATTCGGATCGAGCCTAGACCCATCTTCAGAAGACATTGTATATGACAAGAGAATACAAAACAGCAATTATATTTGCATTCTGTTTTCATATAATGTTCCCTGAAAATGAACCCAGTTCGATTTGATAGCATGGACTGTTAAAATCTGTGCTAAGCAAACTTGTCACAGTTATTAGTGATAACCCTCCTCTGTGATACTGGCAAATGGAGAAAATAAGGTCCGTCCTGCAAATTCGACGGTCAAGACAAGAGAAATGTGATATAAAATACTCTTGCCGTCCTTCACCTGAAAGGGGAAAAATGTATCAGTCGTAGGTTGTTTTCAATCGATAGTTTCAGTAATTACGAGTCCCTTCACGAATTTCTCTTAGCTACGACTTTGTCATTTAAGGCATTCCATGTTGTACGTTATATACTATTACATATAGATCTTATACCATATAACATCACAGCAAGTATGTTTAACACAGCATTCCATGAATTCGAAGGTATGCAATTGATAAGGTTCTTACAAAATCATGCATCCGAATTAGTGACTCATCATAAAAGAAATTGTTATTCCGATGGTTAGGCAGTCAGAAATGAGTGATATGCAGCATCTGATGGGTGGTCAGGAAAATAAAACAACAGCTCAGTCGAACAAACGGAAGTTTTTCGCTTTGGAAAGCGGAGTTAACAGAAAGAGTTAATAATACGTTTTTAATGTAATCCGCTTCTGTTGACGATTAAATGTCACGGCTAAGCTTTAAAAAATGATCTTTCATAAGTTTTAAAAAAAATAGATATTAGACATTCAAGTTTCATCCAACGAGACTTTGGGCAAACTGTCACCACTGTAATTGAGTTGTGCATCGCTAAAGACTTTCAATTGCTAAAAGTAATGTACCGCCAACGGAGTGCGAATGAGGCGCATTCCAGTAACTGGAATCGCTTGGCGAAGTGGTTAGGTGTCCCGGTGGTGGCTGTATGGGTTGACCAGTGTAACGAAAGCATGGATTTTTCAGATCCAAAAGATTGCGGCCTGTCTGACCGTTGCACGTCATCTCCAGTTCTACGTCGTAGCTCTGGCGCGCGTTTGCCGACAACACCAGTCTTCCTGAGCATTTACTTCCGAGCTGTCCCAGCAACGGGTAGTCAATCAGGCATCGAACTTGGTACCAGTGCGTCAGCGGCTCCGAAGGAGCGGTCGACAACCATATCGTCTGGCTAAAATACAATTGTGACAGAAACGTGGTATACAATAAGCACAAACACAACAGATGCACAAAGTAGTATATTCATATACATATATATAATATGCAAGTTGCGC